ATATACTAACAATAATAATTTTAATTTGTATAATGTATATTTTATTTAATATTTAATAATTTAACAAAAAAATAAAACTAAATTAATAATATCCATTAATTTAACCCAAAAAATAAATCATTTCCATAATACTATTATATTAATATAAAGCAAAAGTAATAGCATATCCATAGAAAAACATAAAATATGGAGATTGCATATTACCTTCATGGAGCATTTTCATCTAGAATAACATTTGACTCCATTTGTGGCTCATCAAGTGAAAGAGTATAAACTTCAAGAATTCCAACATCTTTAAATGTATCTCCAGCAATGTCCCACATTCTATTCTCCCCTTGTGTATATTGTGAAGTCTTTCTTGATATATAAAAGTATTCAGCACATTTAGGAGTCATCTTATTCCTTCTTACAGAATGCACAAAAGAATAAGTACTCTAATTGCGTTCAGCATAGGATGGAAGGTTGTGCAACAAGTCGCTGATAAACCTTTGGTTTACCATGTTTTTAGGCTAAATTATACAAGAATTATGTAGTAGATTACATGGAATTCAATGTTTTATAACATATAAATCATAAGGTAGGAATTTGAGCTAACATCTTGATATTCTTGGCATTTTGAAGGTAAAACGACATTTATTGGTGCTAAGAATTGATGAAGAAATCATGACAAAGAGTTGCAACTTGATATGAACCAAATAAAGCCAAAATACTACAAGACAAGGACCAGAATAGCACGCTCAAGCGCACAGAATGGATGCTCGAGCGCATCTAGACAGGGAAAACAGCTTAATTGAGCAATCCAGGACGCTCAAGCGCCCATTAGCACGCTCAAGCGCCCAAGATTACATGAATTTACTATCGAGGAGCACGCTCGAGCGCACAAGTGAACGCTCGAGCGCGTGTGGGCAGGCAGAATCCCTAAATTGATGCTCAAGAGGACGCTCAAGCGCCCAGTAGCGTGCTTGAGCGCCAAAACACTAACTAATCAGCCCAAGATTTGATTAGATTTGCCAATGGATACAGATTTGTAATATTTTTGATGAAAGTGGAAACAAATCAATCTTGATTTATTAATTGATAGAGATTCATGGGGAGATTGGATGAAGAATTAAAAGATATGGCTTCAATGGTTATAAATATGGAGCTGAGGGTCAGAGAAATTGACCAATTCACCAATCCAGAGAATTACACAGAAACTTGAGGGAGGAATCCTATTGCAGAGCTTGGAGCACTGAGGAACCAAATCAACATCACACCAATGGAGGCTTGAGGTTCTCTTTTCTTTACTATTGTTTTTGAATACAATATGCTAGGCTAAACCTTTTTGTAGTTAGGGGTAGATGGAACCCAGTTGAATCTTTATGTTTATGGATTAAATTGTTCTTGAATTCTTTTCTTTTTATAATTGAATAAATTTATCTGTCTTTAATGCTTTCTATGAGTTTGCTCCTTATAGATTGATTTAGGAGAATTGTATGAAAATAAGGATGTTGGTGCATGAACCCTGACTTGGTAAATTTATCACAATCCTTGTGATCTAGGGATAGATATAGGGTAATTGTGCAATCTTTAAATTCTTGATCTTAATGCATGTTTTCTTGGAAAAGAATCAGGGAACTAGAGTTCTTTCAAGATCACACAGATTTAGGGTAACAAGGAATTGAGTCCTAATTAACTTAGAAAGAATTGATTGGCAATATATTAAGAAAGGATTCTTGACAGTTTAATTCATAGCATATAGAAGAGATTGGGGAAAGCTAGGTGTGATTCTGTTATTTTTTTTTTTTTGGTATCCTGTTATTTTTATTTATATGCAGATTTTCATTTTATTATTTATATTAGGTGTTGAAGTTGATTTTGGTACCTTCGAAGTTGGTTCAAGTGATAAACGAATCTTAAGGAAGGTTCTACCATTAACTCTCTCTTTTTCCACATGTGATATCAATTATTTCTTACGTCACTGTTCACCAGAATCTCATTATCATTCAGATTGTAATTCACTAATATATATAGAACTTGAAAGATTATTTATTTATTTTATTATTATATCCATTTGCCATTATAAAAGTTTATTTATTTATTTTCTTTTTTTCTTAATTATCGTTTATTCTAATATTAAATAATTTATTATTTAAATATTAAATACTACAAAGGTATTTTATTTGTTATTATTATTATTAGTAAAATAAAACAAATAATAGAAAATATTATTCCTATATATATATATAGAGAGAGAAAATGTTTCTCAAATCATTTGAGATATATGTATCTTCGTCCATCCCAAAATTACGTCGTTTTATTTATTTATTTCGTTGTATTAATTGATTCATCTTTGAATGGTTATGATTCCCCTTTTCTCTCTTCCTTTATCACCATTGATTCATCACTTTGTATAGTTATGATTTAATGGCTGGAGATAAAGTTATTTCAAGTGACTTGAAAAATGATAAGCCTATCTCTCAAGTGACTTGAAAAACAATAAGCCTATATATATATATATATATATATAGGTAAAATCATTTCTGCAGCCGCTTTACGTACAACAACGAAAGGTGTATGATTATGACTCCTCACATTTAATGCTTTTATACTTTGTATGGTTATAATTTCTCACATTTAATACTTTCAAGTATATATATAACAAGTATTTGATTGCTGCACGTACAACCGCCGCAGAAATGCAAACCCCATTGATATATATATATATATATATATATATATATATATATATATATATATATATATATATATATATATATATATATATATGGAAAAACATTTCTCAAGCAGCTTGGGATAAATTTATCTTCGGCTACTCTAAATAGGGGTGATAAACGAGGCAGGGGCCTTTGGCTCGGCTCGTGAAGGCCTGAGCTTACATGCCTAATATTGGTTGTTGGAACCATGCTTGAACTTGTATAAAAGCTCGTTTAGTAAAAAGGCCTTATGCTCCAATTCAAAAGCTCGGCCTTGGAGCCTCTCAGGCTCGGCTAGTATATTAATTTTATTTTTATTTATATTTTTTATACTATTTGTAATAGCTCTCTCTCTCTCCTCTCAATCCATTTCACCCCTGTTTTATTAGTTAAACAAACTTTTTGAATGATTTTGTTCTATATTATGTTGTTTGGATATACATTGAATTTATGAATATTTATGGAATTACTAGTATTGTTGATTGTATATTCTGTTTGGATAAATTTTTGTTGTCTTATTTTTTTCTAACAGGCTAAATCAGGCTTTTATTTTTTGTAAATAAGGCAGGCCATAGGCTGATAATTATATCTGTAACAGGTAACAAGCTTGGTAAGGCCGACACATTTAAACACAGGCTTAGCCTTTTAAGACCAAAGCTCGGCTCGGCCCGTTAACACCCCTAACTCCAAAACTATGTCGTTTTATTTATTTATTTCCTTATATTAATTGATTCACCTTTGAATGGTTATGATTTCCTTTTTCTCTCTCTTTCTTTATCATCATTGATCCATATTTGTACGGTTATGATTTAGTAGCCGAAGATAAGATTATCTCAAGCAGCTTGAGAAACGATAAGCCTATATATATATATATATATATATATATATATATATATATATTGCTATTGTTTATTTGGATTGTTGCAACTTGCGTTTCTGCTTTTCCTTCACTTCTTAAAAGAAATACTTTTGGGAGAAAATCCAACCAAAATGAGGTCACTTGAATTTAAAAAAAAAAAAAATTTATTTTTGCAATGTACCTAGTTATGATTATAAAAATTGTGTACCTAATATTATACTAAGATATAAATAAACTTATAATCATCTAATCTGAGACTTATAGATATTTCATACAGAATGGATATTAACGTAATTTAGTCTTTTATTTAACATAGCCTTTACTTTAACCATATACTTGGAATTTTGTGGTTAGGAATTGTATGACATTTCGCATTTCATCACAAGTCACCTAACTTGGAAAAGATCGTAACAAATGCTATGAATGCTTTTGCTCACAAGAAGCCAGCCAATTCATTAGAGGATGCATTAAATTATTAGTATAAAAGAAGAATATACATTTTTTTTAGTACAAAATGAAATACATTTTAGTGCGTTTGGTTTGGTAGAGGAGAAATTTTTTTTTATTCGGGAATCTTAATTTTCAGAAATATGATTTTTACATTCAGTTTACGATAATATCTGAAAATTAAAAATTTAGAAAAACTCAGTTTCCCGAGAATCTCCAAAAATCTCGCATACCAAACAGACCCTAAATGTATCTCGAGCACACACACAAAGTAAAACGACTTCCATTTTTAAGAGTGCCGACTGCCGAGGATATGCCTACCCGGATACATTTGGGCTATATTAATATGTAAGGAGAATGATTTGTTTACAATTTTTTTTTTACAAATTACATTAAATATGACCGGTCATATACTCTTTACTGAAGTATGACCGGTCAGACATAACGTAGTTTGTAAACAAAAATTTATAAATATACCATTCTCCAATGTGCAATCCCTAATAAAAATAAATAAAATAATCATGATAGAAAATCTGTTTTTTTTTTCAATAAGTTAAGTGATAAATGAGAGAAAAATACATATTTAATATTGCAAGCAAGTTTAAACTATTAACAATAAAAGAGTATTTAACTCATTTTGTTTTAACTTAATTAGTGATATGTTATTGTATTAAAAGTTGTGACGCAGCTGATAAACGTAGACCAGTTGATTAAGAATTTAGTCCATATTTTATAAAAGTATGAATTCCAATCTCACTGATCAATATGAAAATTTTATTAACGAGTAATATATAATCTTTCCAAAAAAATATAGAGAGATTGGAGGGTCTTTCTAACTTCTCTTAAACTTTGTGTGTACTAAAAAAAAGCTATGTCGTATCCAACTTGAATTGAAGTAACCGACTAATAAAAAAAAAAAATCAAATCTCCGCCATTTACGTCACCATGTTATATATATATATAAATATAAAAAATTTCAGGTACGCGGTTAAGCAAACTATAGTTGATGGGATTTTCTTGAACGGTGTTCTGAATGTCGTCTTAAGCGCGTAGCAATACGCTTCCCTTAAAAATCCAACGATTTCTAGCAATTTCAGCCAAGACAAGACCAGACCCTCTTTTCTGATCAGTTCTATTTCTTTTCTGTTGTACTTGCAAACAAGATGAACACCAACAACAACAACAACGACAAAAACCAATCACCACAATACCCCTCAGATACAAACCCATTTGCACCATCTTCATCATCATCTCTCCCACCCAATCAAGAAACTGAGAATTGGGGAACTCATATTATGGGGGCACCTGCTGTACCAAGTAGTCACCCAGACAACAAAAAAGCAGCTTTAAGAAGTGGTGGTAGTGATCAAGAACAACCTCAGGTTCATTATTACCACCATCCGGTTTATCCCTATGTTCAAACCAGCCCCGTTGATAAGCCAAGCAACAGTCCTATGGAATCAATCCTCCACATGTTCGATTCCTGGAGTAAAAAGGCTGAAGCCACCGCCAACAACATCTGGCACAATCGTGAGTTTCTTTTCTTTTTTATCCTAATTTCTTATATACAATATAAATTTGTTACAGATATAATAAAATTATTCCCGTGTGTATATGATTCGAGAGCTTCCATGTGATCTAGAGTTATATATATGTCATCCCTTTTCTAATAAAGTTGAATTTCAGTAACTGTGCCTTGTTTACACTTTGTTATGATCTCATAGATCGAGATGTTAAATAAGAGATTGGTATGTTCACATTGAATCTATTTGTCCACTCTCAGGTGCCTACAGGGAGGTACCCTAGAAATTAGCGAATCACTGTGTATTATAATATAAACGGCATAGCCAAAGGGTGGGGTGTGTGCACATTGACAAGCTAAGAGAGAGGGTTTAGAGTCTGTTTACTTTATTGGCTTAACCCCTTATTTATAGATGGGTTACCTGACAGGAATGGACTTTTGGGCTTCTTACGAGTACTGGAGTCCACTTTTTGATTCATTGCTGCCGTAGTAGGATTAGTATAATTAAGGAATATTTCCTTAATTCCCTCTTAGCTTTTAGCTCTATTTGGGTCTTTGTCAGGTCCATAACACACTTCAAATCAGGTCCTTTCATGGGTAGTGTGTGAAATATAATATAAATTTGTTAGATATATAATAAAATCATTTTCGGATCTTAGATATTTGAGAGAGTTGGTGTATGACATAATTGAAAATTGCTAAAAGAAACTCAATAGGTGTCAATGGCGGAATCAGAAAATTTTATGAGAGTGGACGAGAAATTCAAAATTCAAATAACTTCCTAGGTAGGACAACACAATAGTGGGTTTATACATAGCCAAATTTGAAGAACTTTTAAGTTTTTTTTTTTCGTACATGAGGTATGATAAGGATGAAAGGGGGAAAAGTTATGTTACAAAATTGTTCTTTTAAGTTTGAATGTAGTTCAAGACAAAGGTTTGATGAATATGGGGGGAGGGGGGATCACCCCCTCCTAGCCCCTCCATTGCTCCACAACTGATAGGTGCCAATTGCGGTGGTTAAAAAGTGGTTGTTTGAACCCCAAGGTCGAAAGTTAGATTATTGGAGAAGCACCATTGAGGAAGGGGGGTGATCATCCCTTCTGCCGCTCCCTTGCTCCACTGCAGGTCACAATAGTTAAAAGTGGTTGTTTGAACCCCAAGATCGAAAATTTGATTATTGGAGAAGCACCGTTGAGGAGATATTTGTCCTTCACCATATCTCAATATCGTGATTCATGTTGCATATGTGAGATAAAGTTACATATTATAGACCTTCCTTTTTTATAATGGTTGAAACTATCTAGGCCTTAGAAGGGTAGCTAAATCTTCCATTTTTTATGTTGTTACTGTTGTTAATGTGCAGTTAGAACAGGCCCATCAGTATCTTCAGCTGCACTGGGGAAGATGAATCTGACAGTCAAAGCTATATCAGAGGGTGGATTTGAGTCCCTGTACAAACAAATATTCACAACCTATCCAAACGAGAAGCTGAAGAAGACCTTTGCTTGTTACCTTTCAACAACAACAGGACCTGTTGCAGGAACCCTTTACCTGTCTAATATTCATGTAGCATTTTGCAGTGATCGCCCATTGTGTTTCACCGCACCCTCTGGCCAGGAGACGTGGAGCTATTACAAGGTATTTGTTATTGTGAAAATCCCATCCAAGAGGGGCAGAGTAGAATGTTGCTATAGATTATGTACTAAATGAATTATCAGAGAGGTCATGAGTTACCTAAATAATGGTTGAAGTGGGTATAAATAAAATGAATGTGTCATTTGGTCTATGAAATGACTTCGTAATTGTGTTGTGTAACAGGTAATGGTGCCTTTGGCGAAGATTGGAGCAATCAACCCAGTGATCATGAGGGAGAATTCATCAGAAAGGTATATCCAGATTATCACAGTTGATGGGCTTGATTTTTGGTTCATGGGTTTTGTTAATTATGACAAAGCAATTAAGAACCTCCAAGAAGGGATCTCACATTTTGTGGTGCCAGGAATAGCTGTACCATCATCTAATACTTGAGCAATGAGTTCTGGTGCTGGATTTTTTGTTCCCCTTTCTGTCAGTGTTTGTGATTGTTTTATTTTACAGTTTTTGGAGTATTATGTTGTATATTTTTGTTTAAACGGTATAATCTTAGTCTTCGTGGTTTATGCATTGTATCAATACTTGATTATCAAAATTTTGAAGGGTGTGATAAATTTCATAACTACAGAATTAAAATGTGTTCTTGCATTTTTTTAGTTAAATACGCCTCATATTGGGAAGTTAATTTTTTCTTGCAATACACTGACATAAAATGATTTCAAAACAGGTTATATGTATCAAAATGAATTAATTAGTATAGTATATGGAACTGGGACGAGTTTCTCATATTTCATAGCAGCTTCCTTCTCAGGTTTTAACCATGTTTCTGAGCCACATTCTAATCAAGTCACTTAGGCTAAGCTCCGACTCATAGCATTCATCTTTCAAATGACCGTAAAAGACTGCATTTATAGCACACTTTTTGAAGGCTTTCATGCTCAACATTGTGATTTTTCATTAAATTTACCCAAACACAAATTTTGTCAAATTTATCCCTTTCTACCAAAGTTACATCTAGAATCTCCCTTATTGCGTGGACATCATATTTGCTTGCACCTATGAAAAAACAAAAGTAAATGGCGCAGTCCTAATTTCAAGGTGCTGCCAATGAGATTTATGTTGGGATAAATTTTAAATGTCCGTTAGAATATTAATGAGTCAGTTATGTCAGTTAGAATATTAATGAGTCAGTTATGACAGTTAGAATATTAATGAGTCAGTTATGTCAGTTATAAAGTAATGAGGGTGTTATGTGTGGAGTTATGTTGGTCAGTTTTATAGCTTATAAATAGCCTTTGATAGTTTGTATGAAATATAGATCAATAGATCAAGAGATCAAGAGAAAAAGAAAAAGAGCAAGAAAAGAATAGAAAAGAAAAGTTTTATTTGTACTGTTGGGAAATTCGTTCCCTCAAACTCCAATGTCAAGCGGGTCCAGGGGAATCTCGTGGCGGGGAGCCACCACCAATGAGCTAAGGCTACACCAACCGTAGCAAGTGGATCTGACATCACGTCTCAACCCAAAACCTTAAGGCATTGGGTTCATGGGTCTTTTCACTTATATACTCTTCACTTAGCTCATTACCAACCAATGTGGGATTCATCACACTTGAATATCTCAACAATCTCCCCCTCAAGTGTGAAACCCACCATTGGTATGCTCCCCCTCAACCGAGTACCCGAAGCGCAAAGTACTCAACCCGCCTCCTAGCCAATCACTAGGCTAGCTCGAGCCCAATCCGGCTCTGATACCACTGTTGGGAAATTCGTTCCCTCAAACTCCAATGTCAAGCGGGTCCAGGGGAATCCCGTGGCGGGGAGCCACCACCAATGAGCTAAGGCTACACCAACCGTAGCAAGTGGATCTGACACCACGTCTCAATCCAAAACCTTAAGGCATTGGGTTCATGGGTCTTTTCACTTATATACTCTTCACTTAGCTCATTACCAACCAATGTGGGACTCATCATACTTGAATATCTCAACAATTTAAACCCTTGCCAATGGAATTCAGTTTTTCATGACGGGAATATGTTGGTTCAGGAGTTGTCAATATTTTTCCAGGCATGTGGGATTGTCATTTCTCCATGTTTGGTAGAAGTATGTCATGAGTTTTGCCCATCAATGACCGTTGCCTAGCAATTGAGAAATGCATGTAAAAATTGTAATAAAGCAATCCTCTCCCAACGTAGTATTTGTGTGAAAACCGGATAAATGGAAAAAAAGGATAAAAATAGTGACAAATTTACCCCTCTTCTTAACCGCGCGTTAGCAATTGATATTCATGGACTACCCCAAAACCATATAGCTGTCTGACAAATATCATATGCGATTTGAGGGTTGCAGAAGACATAACTCATTGCGACAGCCACAGTCGAAGTAAAGATCTCATCCGTCTACCACCCAAACCCAAGTATGACTGATGAAACCAAGATGGTTATGATCGGAGGTCAGGTAATGGCAATGAAACTCAGTTTTGGAATGACCTTTTGTCTCCACTTTGTGTATATTGTTACATGGTGAAGGAAAAGCGTTGTATATTAAAATAATTTTCCTGTATTTCGTACCACCTTCTATTTGCGTAGCTGGTCGAAGAAGACTCCCGTACCCCGTCAGAGAAGTTGGTGGTTTCAAGACCGCCTGATTTGGTGAGGTACAGACAAGGGTGAAATATTAAGGGTCCTGTTATTTTGGGCTGTCTTGGTCACACTTTTCCTGTAAGACTATACAAAGTCGTTGGAGTCATCCACTGTTTTTAAGTACTCGTTCATTCTTGCAAACACAATTTTGAACAGTGGCCACACACTGTTGTGTTGTTGTGGTTGTGCATTTGATTATGAAAGTAGGAATGGACATGAAATAATGTGCTGCTTTGTAATTGTTTATGTGATTTGTGAAAGATCCTTGAGGGACCACATGTCACCATAATGTGATCCAAAACGGATTTATAAAAGAACACAGGTCAGTTTTAGTTAACAGATGGAAAATAATAAGTAAGGTGAGTTTAGTTTTGACCTCCTTATGAATGTGGTGGATGATGGTCTGTGGTTTTATTGAGCAACTATTTGTAAGCTTCATTGCTGAACCTGTTACCACTTTGTTCTCTATTGTGTGCCTGCATGTAGGCCTTACGTATGGTGTAGGTGTAGTCATGTTGTACTCCCTGGAAGTTATTGTTCACAGCACTTGGAGTAAGTCATAGAAAAAAAAAAATTAAACAACTTGTAATTAATGGTAATATAGCTTAATGCAATGTTAAGTCCCAGTCGGTTTGAAGTTTAAGCTTAGTAAAAAAAGTCTTTTCAGTCATGAATTAGTTTGAACTTTCATTGTGGGGAGATGTTATGTGATCCATTTGGCTTTGGGAAGGTTTATGCATGAAAATCTGCACCAAATTGAATCATATTGTAAACAAGTGTGAAACGTACAAAGGTACTAATTGACAATTATATAGGTGTGTTTTGTCATTCTGTTATCATTTTGTCATTCTGTTATCGTTTTGTCATTCTAAACAAGTTCCTTTGTTGGCCCACAACCAAAATTCGTGGATTGTTTTCTACAATTGTTATTAAAAACAGAACTATATTCTTCTTTTTTGTTATCATTTTGTAATGCTTCTGATATGATTCCTTTTAGTGTTGTGTTATGCTCCACACTAGTATATCTGCATGATCTCAAATATAGCCCCATGTTATGTCCAAAGTTAATGGTACTTTTCACTTTATGATAAAATTGACATGTGAATTATTTTGTTATTTTGCGTGTTAGATTGTGGCAATGAACAATGGAATGGAGGTTAGTGTCGTTGTTGTACTTATTGCTCATCTGGAGTGTATGCAACAATTGATTTTGTTGTTATTCAGTATTTGTGCTTTGTTATTAACGATATCAGGAGAAATAGAAGGAGGAGAGTATCCTGGAATTTCTTTACTAGGGCTAGGGTTAGGGAAGTCAACTTCTATAGAATAGTCCATGTAAGTGACAGGGCTTGTATTGAGAATACAAGGATGGACGAAAGGTCTTTCCATAAACTGTGTGAGTTGGTGAAAACTATTGGGGGACTGGAGCCGACTAGGCATATGGGTGTTGAAGAGATGGTATGGGACGATCCTACAATAACACTGCATAATCAAGACAGAGACGCGAAATAGTTGGTTCAAAAAAAAACCCACGGAATCGAAGCATGAAATCTAAGACTACAAAAATGAAGTTGACAGCGAAGTTATCTCCATAGCAACATCAAACGATGTTCTGATAACAATAATAAATAACCCCAACAATACAAAGACAGATTGTACACTTTCTGCCACGGAAACATAAATCAACCACAAACCCTAAGCTTCCAAGAACTGCATATCTGCAGACCAGCGGACTAATTTCCAATCGTCGTTGTGGCAAATGACTGATCTTACTCACACCACAAGCTCACTCACGGTGCGATGAAAGTTGCCGCCTGGAGACAGGACAAAGAGAGACTCAATACAAGTTAATGGAGACCTCACTCCACATGTCCAAGAAATAGGCTCGAAAATATATGTTGTAACATTCAATCTATTTTATAAAAAGGTTAATTTCATAATTTCCATTCTTTTTCCCATCAAAATTTTATTTTCAACCAAACATACATCAAGATATTTAACCCAATTTTTTCAGTAATATTTTGCGGTACCAAACAATTTTTTTTAAATTTCCTACCAAACTTACTTTCCATCGTCTTTCCTTGTAATTACATTTTCCTAGTTAAAAAAAATTTCTCACGAACCAAACAGTTGCTAAGACTCTTGAGTGTTTGGAGAGACGCTTGGTTTCCGTTAAAACAAAAGATAACTACAGAATACTCTTGTACAATCAAAACTCAGCAAGCTAGGCTGTCATATAATCATGAGCTTATTCTTCTAAATATGAGGAGATCTAAGTTATTATAGGTTCAATTCATTTATGAGATAAGCATACTTAGATTAAAAGTAATATTGAAAACTATTGCGGAACACGAGATGAAATTGAAATAATATAAGTTGAAAAAAGGTTAGGGTCTTTTTGGATTGGAATTAAAACACAATATTTTAATTTCAATCTCATTTTTTTCATAATTAGAGAATTTTAGTTTTAATATTTAGATTTGCCAAAATATTAGGATATAACAAATAGGGTGTAGTTGAAATGTGAGGTTGAGACGAAATTGTAACAAAAAAGAAGTTATGAAACAATATTACAATTTGATGTAAAATTAAGAGATGCATGAAAAATATAATGTGAAGTTAGAAGACGAGATTGGTAAAAAAAAAAAAAGTTACAAGATGAATTTAAAATCTTAATTAAACAATATTTGATTCTAAATAAAAGTATAAAACACTTTCATAAAATAAAATACTGCCAAAATAACACCCTTAGCAGTGGCGTAGCCACGTCCAATAGAGCAGGTGCCTTGGCACCTACTTTTTTTTAATTTTTTTATTATATAATTACTTATAATTAACTAAGGTAAAAAATATAATTTGGCATCATCTAAATAAAAAATCAAATACTCAATACAAAGTAACCACAAACCATCTAAATGCAAACAAATAATAAGGAACATGTATAGTATGGTTATTTTTGTGTTTTACCTTTTTTTTATTTTTTATCCTATATATTTTTTTTTCTACTTTATTCTAATCAGTTATGTTATTTATTCTTACTCCTATTATTTTAAAAAAGAAAGACTTCTAAACTTAATCACAAAAACAATTAGTTGACGTATTTCAAAATATGGACCCAATTAAACCAAATAAACACATTTAAAACTAGGAAAAAGGGTTTGTCCTTTTAAAGGACACAAGGTTGTATCATTTTGGTTTTTGACACTATATCTTACCTGTAAAACATAGTTATAATATGAAAAAAAAATTATATTTCCTCAGTCGCTTCAGCTGACGTGGAGAGAAAAAAAAACTATTTTTCATGTTATAACTTATCTTACCGGTAAGACATAGTGTTAAAAACTAAAAGGACACAATTTGTGTCCTTTAAAAGAACAAACACTTAACCCTTGAAAGTAACAATCATGAAATCAAATGAATAGCAAGACTATAATTATGGAATATGAAGGTTCATTGAACTATTGTGTTTTGGGTTATTGCACATAAAGAATAGTCAAAAATCTAATTCCCAAATGTGAGAACTTCCCTTCATGTATATAATTATATAAGTAATTATAATTGGGCCCTAGCTAAAATTGTAAGTTGACCCTAGCTAAAATTGTAATAGTGGTAACAGAAGAAGATATGGAGCTGCTTTCCGTGTATGATTAGATAACATATTTTTTTCTTCTTAATTTCTTCTTCTTCTTTTCATCCTTTTCCAATTGAGGTTTTCTTCTAACCTTTTTCTCTTATTCGCACTCACCACCCGGAATCCAGCCATTCTGTGTCAAGGCACGATGTTTCGTTGTTCTTCAAGATTTTACGGATACCTATTCTTGGAATATGCATTGGTAATTATATTGTCCGTTGGGCGAAAAAAATTGATTTATATTTTTTAACCTTATAAAAGTGAAATTCTTTGTTTTTTCTGACCCATAATTGTTTATTGGGTGTTTCTAACATGAGTGAGATTCACGCCCCCTTTATTTTAGTAACAACTTTTCTTTTGTGGTTGTAATTATTGATTTTATTGCTTATGAAAAAATGGAGTGTTGTTTTACGTTTACCCTTTTAAAAAAAAATATTTTAATATAGAGCTACAGTTGCTATTGGTAATGGAATTGAATTATTTATTAGTGTTATTTGTATTTTATTTCACAACAAGAATGTGAATTTTGGTTATTAATTAGTGGAAACGGTTAAAGAGAAAAATCAATGAAGATATATGTATATATATGGAGTATGAAAATTTCTTATACATATCCATTAACAACTTCTTCTTTTTGTATTTTTAAAAGTTTTAAAATATCTAAACACTAATTAAATGATTTATGTGGATCCAATGTCATTTAAATGATTTTAGACATTTGTCGCTGATTATTCCATGTTTCTTTTTATTTGTGAAGTTTGTTGTCCCTCTATGTTAATGTTCTTCACAGGTCACGGCTAGGATATAAATGGGTCAAGTTAAGCCAAACTTTGACTTTGATAGCCTAAGCCTATGTAAAATATTTGGAACCTATACTGACCTATTAGCCTATTAAATACTAGATTTATGGCCTGCCATATTATAAAAAAACTAAAAAACCGAATACAACTTGTAAGGCCTACCAAGTTGCAAACTAAAGTTTGTAAACTCAAATCAAATTAAAATATAAAAAATAAAAATAAAAAATATTCACAAAGACCATATGAAATAAATTTTCATTAACATCACATGAAATAAACTCTCATTAACATCACATGAAATAATAATGTTATCAAAGATCACATGAAAATATGCTTAAAAATCATATGAAAATTTCATATATGTATATATAATTTACACTTTCTTTACTAATTTTATTTTATATTATATTCTAAATTTTAAATAAATAATTATTATTTGTTACAATAACATCAATCTTATTACTTTGAAAATTTTAAATAAATTTTTTTCTAATACATTTGTGTAATTATGAATTTTATTTTATAGTTTGACATATTAAAATTTTTTGACCCTTAGTACGTACACAAGCTAAGGCCTTAGTGTATGAAAGAAGCCTTATTTGTAGCAAGATAAAGATGCTTCATACTCACTTATTATAATGGGTATGAGCCTATATTTTGTATTCACAGAACAATAATTTCCTTTTACTACGTGGTTAATGAATATCTACTTCGGCGCGAGGGACACTGAACACAAATTAATGGTTTTTGTTAATTAAAAGCCATCGTTTTAAACCGACTAACTCCCATTTTCAAAAGTCTCATGCAAACTCACGGGACCTATTGAAATTTTAGGAACATGTTATTTGATTAAACAAAAAATATATATTTTAATGGGAAAAAAAAATTATTTTCCCATAACCAAACTTACCCCATAAGATATTTAATTTTCACATAACCAAATTTTGTGAACAATTTAGTAAATTGGTCAATGATTCATAAATAGAAAACGAACTTGAAATCATCAGAACATTAAATTTAAAAATAGCTATGAAATCAGGTGATCAATAACTATACTTTTGCTAGCTAAGATTCATCACATCTGAAAACAACAGTTCAGGCTAAGCCGTCAAGAAATTAATTTGTTCTCTCGCTAACTCATTTAACCATTCATTCAAAAAAGTCCAACAACATACGTTCTAACTGGGTAAACACTGACCACTGACATAATATCATGCTCTAGCCTCCAAAATGTCTGATTGCAAGCGTACTAATTTGACACTGATTAACGCTTCTTCTTGCTTCCTTTTGCACTGGATTTTGATGGTGTAGCCACCAGGTACACAAACAGAACCATGAAGGAGATCACCGAGATTAGAGATCCATACTTAGCCAGCAACCTCTGTGGACAATAACATTTTGACATTAAGGTAATGACTTTACACTATGACACATCTAGTGGTTGAAAACAACATAGCATCGGAAACTTATTAAGTTGTGGCATTATTCCCTTGGTGAAACACATGTGGAGAGAAAGTGCAAGAGTATGCAAAACCAGATTAACTTTATTTTCTGTCCATTTCTCAAGAATGTATAAGTTGCACCAAAAAGGTGAATGATATCCACTTTGTCCATCTCATCATGCCTTATCGATGACATGCAAAATTAACTAACAAAACAGGTAGCCCTCATCATAATTCAAGCTTAGGTCATTCACATAATAATTTTGAAGACAGCAGTTACAAGGAGCATAAAATAATTGTCTATACCTTAGCCTGAGAAATCCGGTCCAACCAAATATGAATACATGAAAACAAAAAAGCAATTCATCAGTCAACATAAGCAATTAAGATTGATTCGCGTAACTTTCAGGTATTCAAGAAAACATACCCATTCAAACTTCTTCTCAGGAGGTCTATCAGCAAGAACATCTAAAGGCAATATGGGGGTTGAATATGCCTCCTAATAGGAAAAAAACTATTATCATTAAGAAAATTTTGCTCACCAGAAATTAAAATAGACAGCAACCCCAACACATATTAAACCTGTAAGGCAGCCTTTGTGGGTATGCGGAACTTTATGATAGCCGGTTCACCAGAAAATACTCCCTTTGTTTTTGCCTCAAGCTCAAATGTGTGGGAGAGGACACCACCCCTGAAAATAGTATGATTTGTTTGTAAAAAGATATTAATCAAAATGCAATAGAGCAGAAACAGTAGGTAACCTAGAGTAGCAAAAAATGTTACAGCAATTACTAAGGAACTCACGCATCAAGCTTTTCCCATGACTTTGAAGTGCTACCGCTGATTATACTAAAAAGATCATTTGGCCAGCTATCGTCTGCTAGACTTAAATCGTATGCGGTCCTTCAAAAAAAAAGAAGAGAAGTGGTAAGAACAAAGGATAAGTAAATACTAATAGCATAAGTACAAGGTTACCAAATAAAAATAGATATAGTAGAATATGTAGTTCATTTTTGAAAAACAGAATATACTAAATTTAACAGCTGAACAAGTCAAACAAGGAATAACAAGGTTTATTTACACAAACTTGCTAACCACTTATGAGATAAAAAGAGAGCCCCAAGACGTCGTAAGATTGGGAAACAAAACCATGATTCAACAAGAGTTATAGCACACAAAGTCCTATCTTATTGATTTACACCTTTGCTACTAGCCTACCATAGTCCATGTCAGTCATTAAACCCAATCCCATAAAACACAGGAATGGATTTTGCATTTTGGCACTGTCTTCCAGCCAATCCTTAACAAGTAAAGCACCAAAATAACCTCAAATGTACTTCTCCATACTTTGAAAAACCCACTGGTCAAATCAGAGATAGCACAGTACATGCACTTAAAATTTAAAACTCCAATTAAGCCATCAAAAGCTTCAATTTTTCACATTATGTTTAAGCATCATCAAATTATACATGAACTCTCCATTTCTTCAATAATCAGATCAAAATGAAACATGCAAAACCTCCAGCGTTATGAAACCGAGAGAGAAAAACCCCTTTTCCTTCCACTTACTAACTCACGCAAGCAAAAGGGGCATGCCTCAGATGCTTAAAAAAATTCCTTAAAAGCAAAAATTATCGATTTTTACCTTTATTTTTATCTTCTTCCCAGCTGATAAAAAAGATTACCCTTTTTCTTAATTTTCCAAATCATTTAAAAAAAAAAACGAGATCCAGCATAAATTTCTTATTTTTACCAACATTTACTCAGCAACCAAATAGCATAAATACAAATATTCACGGAATTTAAAAAAAAAATCATAAAACTCTAATTCCAGCTCAAAAACAATCCGACCATGCATGCATATGGGGAATTAGGATCTTAGACATTCAAAATTAAAAAAAAAATTAAAAAAAAAATTGAAAACAAAATTACAAAAAAAAAAACGTTGGTCTTAGATCGGAGCGTACGAGGTTCCTTGGTTGTAGATGTCGATGGTGACGGAGACCCTTTCGGCACCAGACTTGAGCCTGTTGAGGGAGGCCTTCTTGTGAGCTACGATGAAGGGCACGTCAGAGGATGCCTGTGAGCATAGCAACAAGGAAGCTACGAGCGCAAACGCAATCAGAGCCTTCGAGATTGGATCCGCCATTGACACTTGAGAGAGAGAAAGAGAAAGAAGAGAGAGAGTCAATGAGGAAAGAGAGAAGAGATCGTGGGACTCTCTTTTTTATGTGGGTTATGTTTCTGATCTAGGACTCTCTACCAAGTACCAACACTAGGGTTCATATCACGGGATGAAATGTTCCAAACCAAAAAATAATGATATTTGATAAATTATGGATAATGATTATTTTTAAATGTAAATACTGAATATATACATATATATTGTTGTTATTATTTATTGGATTGGATTTTATAATTAATTTTCTATAACAAGATTAAGAAAAAAAAAATTGTTACACTGTAAGATATAGTGAAAGAATTTTCAATTATATATATAAATCATTTATTTATGAGATATTACTATCGATAATTATCTCGATATAATTTAATCTTTCTGATTAAGGGGGTGTATTGGATTAAGATTTTAAAATATTTTTTTGAGATAAAAAATCCTACAGATTTGAAAAGACATTTTAGAATTTGAGAGACTTTAAAGACTTTTTTAAAAGGCTTTTTTTACAATCAAGATTTCATAAAATTGGATTTTAAAGGATTTTAATAGAATTTATAAGATTTGAAAGGACAATATGGATTTATAAGATTTTAAAAAATCATATGAATTTTTAACAAACATTCAAAATTATAAGAGTCAATACAAAAGGGAAAGGTTATACTTACAATCTATTTTTGTTTACAACATTTTACAATCATATCTTAACCGTAGATTTTCATCAATCAACGATTATCATTCATTGCAAATTTAATATTAATTAATGAGTTTGATTTGCAAAAATAATAAACATTGATTGACGGAAATCAATGGCTGAGATATGGTTGTAAAATGTTGTAAACAAAAATAAGTTGTAAGTATAATCTTCTCCATAAAAAAATAACAAAGAAATGAAATGAAATTAATAAAAAAAAGTAAAATCTAATATAATTTTCTCAATCAGTAAAAAATAATATAATTTTTAACAAACATTCAAAATTACTAAATAACAACTTTTCACATATCTAATGGGTTAAAATTATTTTCTTCATTTGGTATCATAGATATGCATATATAATTATAAGACCCAGTTTTTTTAATTGTAAAAATAATTCTAAATTTGCATATAGAACCTAAAGTTCATGATAAAATTTTGTTTGGAATTTTTTGCAATTGATTTTAAAAACTTTGGGGGATTTTGAATTTTCTAACCATATGAATCTGAAATTTTGGGTTTAATTACATGAAAGTTTAGAAAATTTCTCAAATTTTTTTAATCGATACATTGAAACCTTAAATTACTTTGGGGCTTTTGAGAAACAAGTAAATTACTTTGGGGATTTTGAGAAACAAGCTTTTAGTTATCTATTGACACAAAATTTGTTTGAAATCGTTTCCTATAGTGAAGGAATTTCGTTCATGAATGTATTGTTACGAAATGTGTGGTTCATATTATGAAAGTTTCAATCTTTCTTTAAATTGATATTGTTTCATTGATGTAAAATGAAAATTGGTTTGAGGGTTTTAGTTCCCTTGTTATTTTTTCACTATTTTATGTTGTTTTTAATACAAAAAACACACATTTTTGTGCCAAGAAAAATCGCGACCCATAGCTTGAAAAATTACTTTTTAAACTTCCAAAATTTCTCGAAAATGGCTCAAAAATATGTTACTTTTGAGATAAATTATATTAAAATCTTGTTGGTTTGTTGTTTATGGGTTATTTTGTGATAAAAATCGCTCAAAAATATGTTTTTTTTTTAGTTTTGACGAAGCTCCTATAGAGGAATCCAATTTCGAGCAGTCAACGTGCCAAAAGAAGAAGAAAACACTGTAATAGAAGAATCTCAAGAAATCCTAGGGGTTGGGGTGAGATTGTGAGAGAGACATTCTATTATATTTTTCACTAAAAAGTCTTGTGAAATCCAATCCACTAGAAAATCCATTAAAATCGTTAGATTTTTTAATACAACGAGATTGTGATTCCATTATTTAAAATCTTGATTGAATACTAACGGATTTGGACGGATTATAAAATAATCCTTTAAAATCCAAATCGAATACCACGTGATTTTTTTCAATCCTTTAAAATTCTAATCGAATACTAACGGATTTTTTTGTCCAAAAACAATCCATTAAAATCCTTTGAAATCTCAATCCAATACACCCCCCTAAGTTAACATTCGTTTTTGGTATTTACCAAAAAAATTAAATACGAGGGAAAATATTATTTCAGATTGACTTTTGTAATTGACTTGTTAAAGATAACTACACTATGTAACAAAAGAAAAACTACAATAAACCATAATTCCAATTACCACCAAGCAAATTTTTTTATTATTGTAGAATGCAGCATTTTTTGTTGCAAAATGTTTTTGTTTTATGTTATTGTCGCATATTGTACTAGAGAAAAATCTTAGTAAGCTCGTCATATATATATATATATATATATATATATATATATATATATATATATATATATATATATTGAAAAGATTTATACTAAGTTGGGTCGGTAGCCTCACATTATTAAAATGTAAAGTAATTAAAAGAAAATGAATAAAAAATATTTATCTAATGGAGTGTTTTGCAATATAAATTGAATATGCTCCAAAAAAACTCAGTCAGACACTGAGGTCTTAAGCGACAAAAAGGCAATCATTCTCTAATAATGCACCCTCAAGTGAAAGTGATAACAAATAACACGAGTTAAGCAACTCGACAATGTCACATTACAAACGAGAAAAGGTATAAAGCCTTCAAATCGTCAAAAAAATAAAGAATAAAGTACAAAGAAAACTTACATTTCGTCCCTTCATCTTGGAGGCATCTCATCACCATAAAAAGGTATAGAGATCAATAGATGCATTGCCCATCTCACCTCTTTTAATGCATAGGATGATATTTCCATCATTAGCATAATAGAAGGCATCCTGATCTTCGATTCTTGCACCCTATTCAACACCTTGACCTAAGCAACCGCGTTTTCAAAAGCCTCATTTGCATAAGCCTGAAAGCACTTCCTAGCTCGGCCAAATGCATCTCATAGTCCATATTGTCCTCTACTTTAGCAATCTCGAGGTCCTTGCCCGCCTTCACAAGGGTGTCGTCCAACTTCTTTATGATGGCCTTAACCTTTGCCAACTCATCCTTTTTCTTCTGGAAACTTGAGGAAACATCACTACCTGATTTCTTTGTTTGACATTGATAAGTCCATGATATGTGACTTGGAACATGTGGTTTAATGTGAAAATATAAATGAAAAGAGTATTTTGTGTATAATATTAACCCCAAATTGCATTGATATGAATAATTCTGAATGTGGAGCTAATGGGCTTGTATTTGTATTTTTCAGGCCCAAATTGTTATTTCCAAGCAAAGCAAAGAAAAAAAGAAAGACAAAGACTTGGGCTGGAGTTTTACATTACAAGTCAGAAAAGCAAAAAGGAAAAAGAAAGAAGAGAATAGAAAGAAAAGGAGTGGGCCGATATCCAAATCAGAAGCCCAATCCAAGGAAGAAAAGAAAGAAAGGGATTGAGAGTAAGGGAAAGCTCAGACGCGTGAAACCAAAAAGAAAAGGAACCGATACTTGCAAACCCTAGCTACAAACCCACCTCCATCCAGACCTTCATCTCAAACCGATCACTCTGAATCGAACCACCAAGCCAGACCGTCCTTATTTTCGGCCAAGCCATCAAGATTTAACCCTCACCCACGGTTCCTTTTTTTGAGCAAACCAACCAAAACACCAACCCTAACCGATTTTTGTGTGATACAAAAAAAGCCAAACACGTCCCTTAACTGATTTGATGAGCTAGAATTTGTTAGGAGTGCTGGCTGAAGATTCTTTTGGAGTGCGTTTGCTACTCGTGCAAGGAAAACACACTATCAAGAGGAGTGTGGAGCATACGTGCGGGCTGAGGTATGAACCGTTTTGCATGAAGGAGGATCGGCTATAAAGGAGGGAGAAAAGCATTGCAGGACCTCTCTTCCTCTCTCGGTCTCTTTGGATTTTATTTACTGTTATCTGTTCTGTTTTAGGGTTTTTAAATTGTGTAATTTTTCTAAGCACTGTAGCAGAGCTATTTGCTGAATATAGCTTCTGCCTTTTAATTTTCCTTGTTCGTACGTTTTAATTTCCTGTTTTGTTATGGACCTTTGTTGTTTGTATGCTCATCAACCTTTGGTGATGAGCTAAATTTCTTAGAGTTTGGTTGAAAGAGTACCCAGAACTCATTTGGTATTAGTTGCTGTTTTAATTCTTAAATGTTAATTTCCAATTTGTTTACGGTGTGTTCTTTTTATGCTGAGTTTATTATGTGACACATAGGCTACTCCTGGTGGTGTGGAATTATTTGGAAATAACTCACACTAGACCTCATTGTAAGCACATAAAAAGTTGAGAGAGATCTCTCTCAATGGGTATGGCTCCAGGGATGAAGTTACCCCCCTGTAACTTAAGGAAATGGTGCTTCAAGGTCTTGTAATAATAGATACACAGGGATGTGTCATCTATTATTTATGGAAAAAAACTGTTGTTGAGAAACAATGATTGTATTAGTATTTTCGTTAAGCTGGAACTGTTGAAAAAAGCAACATATATTTTTCTGTTAAAGCAACTTAATAGCAAATGAGAGAAGGGGAAATTGATACCCAACTTGCTTCCAAACTCTGTTTTTAAATCAATCTTTGTTGTCACTTGAGATTTTTGTTCAAACCACAAGTTTAATTTTCTGTTTTAAAATTTAAGAGAAAATCATAAAAAAAAGTTTACAAGTCTTCCATTTAATTAATTTTCTAGTCAGTAGTTCAAAATTCTTTCACCAAATAAAGTTCTATTTCAAAAAAAAGAAAGTCCTCACAAAAATATTTTTCTTACACTTGATTTAGAATAGCAGTCATTTAATTTGATTTTATGTTATTTTATTTTATTTTATTTTTATTCTGATTAGCAATTACAATTTTATTCCAAGTCAAAAACACCAAAGATCCTTGTGGGAACGATAACTGGGATTCACAAAAGCCCTATATTACTTGTTGTCGCGTATACTTGCACGCATACTTGCAGAACTGTTATGTTTAGCAATGACATGGTAACATTAAGCTTGACTAGAAGTCCTGCCTCCTCATCAGATAAATGGATCGAGTCCTCTTTGTTGCTTGGTAATAAACTTGACAGGCACCTACACCAAAAGGTCAGTACAGGCCAATCTAGAGGAGCCTCCATGTGCTAACTTGCATCAACAAGGCTATCAATTTTACGGATGTGCCTCCCAAAATAAACCCTGATGATTGGATTCAATACCTTTGGAGGAGGTTCGAGGGCATTGAAGAACCAAAACCTCACCCCCGTTGAGAGCCTCTCCACCCATTCTTCATCACTTTATTGCCTTGACCACCATCTCTAACGATAGTTTTTCTCCTAAAATCAATTATAAATAGAGTAAATACTCTTTTTCGTCCCTGGAAATTTTCACAAGGCACAATTTAGTCCCTAGTTAAAAAAAAGTCACATTTCAGTGTCTAATTTTTGAAAAAAAGGGACACGTTTGTCCTTCTGTTACATGGAACGTGACGACCCACTTTGCTGGAACGTTAAGTGGCTGAGTCACTAACGTCACAGCCACGTGGAGAGAAAAAAACGACGTCGTATTTGATTCGAAGGCTGTTTCAAGTGAGTAGAAGGGGACAACGTCGTTTGATGAAGAGAGTCTTGTTGATCCTTTGTTGTTGACTCAGTGAACACAGTCAGACAACAAGTAGTGATTACCATACCCGCCATTTCCTCTACTCGTGAGCTTCTTTTTCGGTGAAGGTTGGTGACCTACGGTGCTTTGTTGGTGTACGTGTCTTCTCCAGTTGCAAGCATTTAGTGTGAAGATCCTTAAAAAAATGATTGTGAGTGCGGTGACTTTCGTGCAAGGTACGTGAGAGAAACCTTTTCTTTATTATCTATTGTCTCCCTTTCCTTTTTGGTCATTGTCTTTTTGCTTAATGTGGTCCCCCATGTGCGGTTTAGGGCAAGAGATGGTTAGGGTTTTTTTTTATGTGGTCCTCTTTGGTAGAATATTTTAGGAACTTGTTGCATGTGGTCCCCCTGTTGTTATTTTAAGTTGCTATGTATAGTGATTACAAAAAAACTCCCAATTTTTTAGCAATGCAGGCATTTAAAATAACCGTGGTTGTTACAGTATTATAGTAATATTGATAATAAATGATTGGTTGTATGATACTGTAAAATAATATTAAGGTAGTGTAAAATATTATTATGTTATGTCTTATATGCAGATGGATGAGTATATAGTCATGAGATATCATCATGGGGGTGTGTTGGTTAGGAATGATGAAGGGAAGCTGAATTATGTGAATGGGAGAGTGGATGATTTACCAGAAATGGATGCAGACTATGTAAACCTTCGTGACCTTGAAGCTCTGTTCAAGGGGTATGGTTACCACAAATGTAGGCAGGTGTCGTGGTTGAAGCCTGGTGAGAGTGATTTAGAGGTTGGGTTGCATCTTCTTGAAAAGAATTCTAATGTTTTGCAAATGGTCAAGGCTGCCTTAAGTAATGGGAACAAAATAGACATATATTTTGATGGTTGTATTGTAGTTCCTGAGATTTTGGCTGGGCCTGCAGATCTAACTCCTCCTGAAAGTGCCGATGAGGAGGGGGTCTTAGGTGATTCAGTTGACAGTTTGTCTGACTTCCATATGACTCATGCTGATGAATATGAAGATCGGGAGGGCAGTGGACTGTCAAGTGATTCATATGACAGTGTAGAAGATGAGCCTTATAAGTCTCCGCCACCGGGTGTTGAAGACGAAACAGATGATGAACTAGGTGAAGAGGATGAGCCAATAATTGCATTGAAAAAGAAGGTGAAAGGAAAGAAGGAAAAAAGGACAATTAACAAGAGTGACAGGGAAGAAAAAGATTCAGAGGATGAGCAGAATATGCCCTTTGAAGATCAGGGCTATGGTTAGAATTCTGAAGAATTGAAGACTCCTCCTTCAAGTGGGGATGATGAGGTTGAGAGGGAAGTGTTTTCCAAGTTTAATGAGGAGCAGGCCTTTGGTCAAGTACAGCTTGAGCTTGGAATGGAGTTTGGCAGCTTGGAGCACTTTAAACAGGATGTCAAAGACTACAATATAAGTCTTGGGAGGCAATTTGTATGGGTTAAGAATGATAAGGTAAGATCAAGGGCCAAGTGCTCAAATGCTGACTGTGAGTGGATGATATATTGTTCTTGGAGTAACAAATTCAATTGTTTCCAAGTCAAGACATTCAATGACAACCACACTTGTTGCGGAATTTTCAAAAATAAAAAGGCCACCAGGGATTGGGTTGCTGCAAAGTTGGAGAAAAGGCTGGTCACACAGCCCAATATGACAAGAGCCGAGGCTTATGAGCATTTAAAGGAAGAGTACAAGGTCCATGTTTATCTGAAAAAATTAAGGAAGGCACTACACAAAGCCAAGTGAAGAATATAAGGAAATGAGAAAGAACAGTATAGCAAGCTAAGGGACTACCTGGATGAGCTTCTAAGGAGCAACCCTGGCTCCACTTGCCAGATGCAAGTAATTCCACAACCAATCCCTAACAGCCCACCAATTTTTTCTAAACTGTATATATGCCTTGATGCCTGTAAGAAAGGATTCAAAGCTGGGTGTAGGGCATTGATTGGCCTGGATGGATGTTTCTTAAAAGGTTATTATGGGGGACAGCTCTTGAGTGCAGTGGGAGAGGATGCAAACAAGAGTTTTTATGTCATTGCTTTTGCAGTTGTTGATAGTGAGACAAAAGAAAATTGGAAGTAGTTTCTGACCTTGTTACAAGAGGACATTGGCAGCCATGTAGTTCATGGATGGAACTTCATTTTGGATCAGCAAAAGGTTTGTCTATTTCAAATTTATTTTCTTTTAATTTCATTTTGTATTGAATTTTCATTGCTGGCCAAGTGTAACTACTTTTGTTGTTGCTGAATATATGAATGCAGGGATTGATACCAGCATTACAGGAGGTCATGCCAGGTGCCCATCACAGGTTTTGTGTGCAGCACATGTGGAAGAATTTCATTAAGCAATGGAAGGACAAAGCCATTAGGGGAATAGTATGGGAGGCTGCACGATGCACAACTGTGCCCCAATTCCAAAGAACAATGCAGAAATTGAAAGAGTTGAATGAAGATGCTTGGGCATACCTCAACAAGATTGACCCCTCATGCTGGGTGAAGGCCTATTTTAGTCACTGGCCCAAGTGTGATAACATAACCAACAACATGGCTGAGGTGTGGAATGCAAAAATTGTTGGATACAGGTCCAAGCTTATTGTCAGCTTATGTGAAGAACTTAGATGCTATATAATGAGGAGGATGGCTGCCCATCAAAGATTCTTGGTACAATTAGGGGTAAAATTGCCCCAGCACAGCAGAAGAAGCTGGATCAATTGAAGGTGTTAAGAAACTCTTGGACACCAACTTGGACAGGAAACTTGGAGCAAGATTTATACGAAGTGACTGGGAAAGGTGAAAGGGTTGGAGTCAATCTAACCTACAAGACTTGTGCATGTAATATGTGGCAGCTCACTGGATTTCCATGTGAGCATGCAATTGCTGCATTATGTCACAAGAATGAACCAGCAGAGCTTTATGTCCATCAATGGCTGACAGTGGATGCTTTGCATGCCACTTATGCACATACCTTGAACCTTGTCAATTCTGACCAGTATTGGCCAGCATCATCTGAGCCTAAGCTCATTCCTCCACCACTGAAAAAGCCAATTGGCCGTCCCAAAAAGCAAAGGAAGAAGGATCAAACTGAGGAGCATGAGAGCCAAACCAAAAAATTAAAGAGGACACGTGCTGCAAAGTGTGCTAAATGTGGGCAATCTGGTCACTATGCCAAGACCTGTAAGGGACCAGCTGCAAGCAAGAGAGGGAGGAGAGCAGCAGCACCTTCACATGCAGTTAATTTTAACATAGCAGCAACACATGAAGAGGAGATCCCTCTGAGTCAAGGAGAACCTTCAAGGCAGTCCCAGGCAGCTGAGGAAGCCATTAAGGTCAACAGCCCACCACTTACTGCCCCACCACCAGAAGACAATTGTCAACTGAAACCTTCAATGCAACAAACAGTGGCACAAGGAGCAGACTTATGGCATTCATGGCCACACCTGGGTTTAGGCCACCAAGACAAGCTTGAATGAACATGATCAGTTTTTTGTATAGGGGTTCAGTTTTTGTTATATAGGCAACAATGGTCCTTAGTACCCAATTTTTTGAATTGTATGAACTGTTAGCTGTACCCCAATTATTTTTTTGTATTTAAGGCCTTCAGGTGAAGTACTTGCTTTTTTTGAATCACAATATGTCTCTGAATGGGTGTATTTTGAAGCAAAATAGGCCAACGGGGGAATAGTTTGAAGGATGTTTTAGAATGGTTTATGAGGACTACAAGTTCTCTTTTTGGCAGTCCTGTAATTTTAGAATGTAAATGACTACAAGTTCCTCCTTCAATGACTACAAGTTCCTCCTTCACTGACTACAAGTTCCTTTTTTTTATATCATTTGCTCCCTTTGCAGCAATTTGTCTCTGTATGGTGCTTTTTGAATCTTTGTATGAGTCTTTTTGATTCTTAGCTATGTGTAGTAAATGTTTGGGGTTGGTATTACTGCATTATGTTTGTGTACTATCAAATTTTTTACTTTAATTTCACTTCAGGTCATGTTTGCTGCATTGAGAATTCGGTTCTCAAATTTTTTGCTGCATTTTTTACTACAAGTTTCTTTGCTGAATTCAGTTATGTACTGTCATTTGCTGCAATCTGTCATATGCTACAATCCAATGTGTCATGGGTATTCAATGCAGTTTGGTCCTACTGAGAATTTTAGATGTTTGTGTTACTGGCAATACCTTTTTTGCTCTAAACAGCTCATGGCCATTTTGTAACGTTAGGGACCAAATTGGCCCCCGATACAAATTGTCAAGGACCAAATTGGCTCCCAATACAAATTGTCAGGGACCAAATTGGGGTCTAGATTTCATCCTTAGGTACCAATGTCCACTCCTCAAATTCCCATTTGCAACAAACAATTTGACTGGATATTTCACTACATCCAACTGTCATTTATCTGTAATGTCCATGTACCACAACATAACATCAGTCCACCCTCACTATGCAGAAAAAAATTATTATGCCCCATCATGACAGTGGGATCATAACAAGAATAAACTTCATATGATGTATGGGAATGGGCTGTATTACTCTATAACTTTGTTCAATTGCTATTGACATATACTGTATTATATCATGAAGTTACCAATATACACAAAAACACATTTTATAGCACAAAAAACACAACTACAAAGCCATATAATCATAGCATCTTTTGAAATTTAATTATAAAAAAAAAAGAACTACAGTGTCATTACATTTCATTGAAGAAAAAAAACATTTTGTACACTACATTTCATTGTTACAAGAATTGCAATCAAAAAACAAATCATCAAAAACCCTACACAAGCAGCAACTAAGACCCTAGCTGCCCTACCAACATGCCTAATTTCCTTGTCCATCCTATCTAACTCCTCCACCATCTTCAGGTATAGCTCATTCAGCTTTCTTTCCTGCACCTTGATACTCAGTTCTTGCTCACTAATCTTCACACCTTGGTCATTCAACTTAGCTTGCAATTGGTCACTAATCATCATGTCCACATACTTCAGCTTGAGATCCATTTCAACAACATCCAACTCCACCTTGTTGATTCTTCCATCTTCAAGCTCCATCCTTTCATTACATACATCATCTACCCATCTAAAAAAATTACAAAAGGGCTTCTTATCCTGCTAAAATTGCAAACCATGGTAAGCAAATATTCCAAGTAATCAAAACTCAATTTACAAATGTATACCTTGAAATTAGGGCACCCAAAGAATGCCCTATTTGGGTTTCTCTCTGTTTTGGAGGTATAGACGATTGTTTGCCTCCCACATTTGCACCTTCGACCGCCAGTCCGTGAGGTTGTTCTACACCCAAAAGACGTACTCCCACTTGATCCCCCCAAGCCATATGACTTACTCATCTTCTTCTACGCACCAGAAAATAGCCAGTAAACACCTTCTACTTGACAATCTTTTCAATCTTCATCGTGGGGAGCTTTTGGGGGTTTTTTAGTTCATGGTTTAGGCTGATTTAGGGTTCCTAATTTGACAGGGACTATATTAGGTCACTAACCCTTTCATGCAAGGGTCACCTGTCCAAACATCCAACTAGACACAAGGCATCTATCTGAACGACGTCGTTTTCGCTCCACATGGCTATGACGTTAGTGACTCAGCCACTTAACGTTCCAGCCGGCCTCCGTCAAGTGGGCCGTCACGTTCCATGTAACAGAAGGACAAACGTGTCCCTTTTTTTTACAAAAATTAGACACTGAAATGTGACTTTTTTTTACCTAGGGACTAAATTATGCCTCGTGAAAAATTTTCAGTGACGAAAAAGGGTATTTACTCTTATAAATATATGTGGAAGTTCAACTGAAAAGGAGAAAATGGGAATTTAGAAGGGTAGCTCATGTATAGAGAAGTGTGTGTTTCTAAATGTTCTTAAAGAAATGAAAAGAAACCACTTGTCACAACAACGAATGGAGCAGAGTGGTCTAAAACAAGAACAACAAGGGAGAATAATGAATTTCGAGGAAAGAGGTGAGCAAGAAAATCCCTTAGATATGCAAGAAAGTCCTTTAAACATGAAGAATAACTAGAAGTTGCACTAAGACCCTTTGGAAGTTGAAGTGTGAAGAAATGTAAAGGAAAGACACAAAAATGAATATATAAAGGCACGAAAACAAAAAGCCCAAGCGTGCAGGAAAACTTATAATATCACACGGTACAAATAGGTGACTGGGGATGTTGGAGTTATAATCCATCATGAGGCACAAAATGTAAAGAACTGTCCCACAATCACCAATACACGTCCAACCCATGAAAACATGTCGTACGTAAAGGAGTAATTGTCAGAATGAACATGAAAAAAACCAACAATCGTTGAAAAGGCAAGGTCCCTTGAAGCACAAGCATCTATCCGGGTTCCCAGATCGCCTTTCAAGAACAACATCATATGGACGATTTTAAAGAGTTAGGATGCTTGATGTAACGGCCCGTTACGTATCGGTATTGTTAACATTGATTATGATATTAAGCGCAGTTACAATCACAGTAGTTCATTTATAAAAATGCAAGTAAACTTTTTCTTTTCATTACGCGAGCATTTAAAACAATAATAAAGCGTAATGAGTAAAAGCTGTGATCGTAACTGAAAACAAAACGCGAAATAATAATATTAATTTCTTAATAATCATATAATACTCCTCTCAAGTCACTAAGAGGTTCCCATAAACTCACTTAGCATAAATCTCACTTTTACGATTTCTACCTATCCGTACATGGTTAAGTATTTTAAAAACTGCAGAAGATCCACATGTCGCGAACCTCCTATCTTTTAGTATGTTAATCTAGACTTAATTATCTTTCCAACAAGCTATCATACGCTCCATAAAGTTCTCGTTTGCTCCGGATATCACCGTTTGAAATTGGATAAGCAATCTGCCAGCCAACCTCAAACAGGACACCAAACAGCCCTCATTCTTTCAACAATTTCGGATAAACTAGTCCACCAATTGCTCTAGAATTTTTATAAAATAAACTAGACATTTCAAGCTTCAATTTTACATATCATAGGCCTAATTTGACTAAAAATTTTGACGGGAATAAATTTCCCAAAAACCGGTCCAGACAGCCCCAAATGCAAGGATTTCTGGACAGTCTGGGTTCAACGGCCCTTACAAGGAAGCGTGCTACTCCTATGGTTATCCAATTGCGACACAAGGTATTTTACATCTCAATCTTCAAAATGGTATATGGCACGTCCCTATAGGACTTCTGTGGAGGGAGATATGCTCTCTCAAAGTTCACCCAAAATCTGCCATTTTATAGAAATTTTGCCAGCATCTCCTTTATTTTTCCAACATATCCCGCTGTTGAAAAAGTGTATTATCTATCATCTAGGGTACCTAATAGACACGGGTGGCACTCAAGGACCAGCAATTCCTTGGTGCTCTTACAACCCATCACAATTTATATCCATTTGCTCACTTTACATTTCATTTCTCAAATTATAAAACTTAAACCATTTCCATCACCTTGATTCAATTACATGCATTCTATAGACATAAAACATAAATCATATCCTAGAATAGGCCTATTGCCCTTTCATCATATAACATGCTTCAATATTACACAATCCTACAACAAGCCATTTCACAAAGTCATGAACATCATCATCAAAATTGCCTAAGTTACCAAATAATTTCCCAATAATTTTTATGGTTTCTATCACTCTAAAACATCATTCTTAGCCACTTTTATCTAATACACAATTTCAATTTGAGCTCTCTAACTACATCAATTCAAGCAAAATAGTTCTAGTCCCCAAAATTCAAATCCATGATTCAACCAATGAAATGTGTTGAAACTTACCCACAAGAAAGGTCTAGGACTCCTCCAAGTAATATCCAAGCAATGGCTTGAATAACCAACCCAAGAACACCAATCTACTCACTTTGGCCACGGGTTTAGATGGGGTTTTTCTCCCAAATGAGTGAGTTTCAAGAGCAACCAATAGGTGGGTTGTGTTTGTATGGTGGTTTACTTAAACTTTGATGTGTAACACTTTGGCTTTTGGAGAGGATTTGATGATGTTTTGGTTGAAACAATTTTCAAGCCAAACCTTGCCCATCCACGGAGGAAGCCACGGGTTTTAGGGGGAGGAGGAGAGAGAAGATACTGATTTTTGTGTTGTCCTATGTGGCCTAAGTCCACTTAAGTGGGATAGATCCCACCGCCACCTCACACGTTTCAAACTAATTCAAATCTCCCGTCTATTCCACTAAACGTCCATAATTTTCTAAACTATTTAGAAACTCTTATTTTTAACATTAACTGTTGTCCTTGATCAGATAATTCCAGAGTTTTTCGGTCGTTCAGAGAAATCACAGTTTTAAGCTGTTATGCGCGTTGTGGGCACGTTTCCCCAAACTCACTAATTTCCATCAATTTTCACCAGAAATCATATTTCCTAGTCCTATGTACCATTTATAACTCATATTCAAACATAGAGCTCAAAATTCATTTGGAACGCTTTAC